AATCCCACTTGCTCAACCGGTTAAAAAACCTACATAGGGCCTCCTGGTGGTGCAAGGGGTTAGGACGCAGCCTATGAGGCTGTCTGTAACCACTGCAGCACGAGTTTGATCCCCGGCCAGGGAGATACCCACATGGCACAGCAGACCTCTCCTGGCTCACCCGCTGCTCCCCTCAGCAGTGTATTTCAGTCAATCTGCCTGTTCTGTTCCCCTGTTCCCCACTCTGTCTCTGGTGAGTCCTCTCACCCCCCACACCTCTGGCTTGTGCCCTAGTTCTTGTATGCATAAATAAATAAATTAAAAAAAAAAAAAAAACCTACATAGGTTCTTTTTTTTATTATTTCTATTTATTTATACAAGCACTGGGTACAGTCAGAAGCACGGGAGGGTGAGAGAATTCACCAGAGCCAGAGCAGGGAGCAGAGCAGGCAGAAGGACCGAAGTACAGTGCTGAGGGGAACAGTGGGCGGCAGGAGAGGTCTGCGCGCCATGTGGGACCCTCCTTCGGTGGCCGGGGAGCAGCCAGGGATCGAACTGGCGCTGCAGAGGCTGAGGGCAGCTTCACAACCCAGCGCTCAACCGCTGCTCCACCGGGGAGGCCCCCTACATAGACTCTTTTAACACTTAGAGAACTGGCTTCTATACAAAAATATCCCTTAAAGTGTCATGGCCCTGTTGTTGAGTAGGGGTAGGTGTTTTCTAGGTCAGCAACTTCTTAGAGCAGTGGTTTTCCTTTTGGGGGTATGGAGGTAATGCTTAAACCAAAATGCAGGCAAGTATATTAGAAGGGTGACTGTAAGAAACACTAACAGGCTTGTGACAAAAGTGAAAGTGTGACCTCTACTAGATCCCTAAAATTAATAATAGGAGCCTGGAGACGGGTGGAGTGACAGGGTGACTTTTTGGGACAACTCTGAACTTCAGAAACCATTTTAAAAACCATTATCACAATGATAATGAGGCCTTCTAAGGCCAAATGAATAGGGTTAAAGCCAGATCGGGGCAAATTCAAATACCTATAAAGCTTTCTCTCTCTTTTTCTCTCTGTGTGAAAGAGAGACAAGTGAAACATATTTCTTCAAGGTACTTTATTTTTCCTCCCTGGAGAAAACTGAATAAACAGAAAGAGCATTAGACCAGGAATGTGGAGACTTGGGTTAAGGGCCTGGAGCTGGGTCTCCTGAGGCATTTGCTTTCTTCCCTGAACCTTAGCTCCAGACGTTGGGAAAGACCACTCAGGATTATTGTGAGATAATACAGATGGGTGAGTGCTTTGAAAGTAAACTTGAAAAACAATACAAGCTATTGTTACTGTTATTACAGAAGTATAATTCTACCATTAATAATTAACAAAGGATGAAGTCGTGGACCTACACTCACCATCTTAGTCAGAACTGTGCACACAGAGCTATTTCTATCATGACTGAAGCCTGTGCCAAGTTTTGTGGCTGCTGGATCATAACAAAAAGGTATAATCATGTTGCTAAAATTATACAGCAGCAATTATCTCTCAAAAGGAGATTGCTAAGAGAATTAACTCAGCACTCTAAGAAAAACCTGAGAACAGTTTAGAAAACAAACACTGTAAGAGGCCCTGTGATAAAACTTTAATAACAGAAGTTTTATTTCTTTCCTCCTTCCCTCCCTCCCTCTGTCCCTCCTTCCCTGTCTTACATCTCACTCCACACTAGCTAACACACTTCAAAAAACTGCTGAGTGCCATCTCTGTAAGACCTTGTTCTGGGCTCTGGGAGGACTACCAAAGAGAGTAGGGCACCATCTCTACCTTCAAGGATTGTCCTGTCTACTCTGCGAAGCAGTGGCAATAGTGACACTGGTCTTAATGAGTCATTTGTTAATTGGAGTGGATTGGTAAGATGGAATCAGAGCCAGGGTTCAATGTATAATCAGGCCTTTGACTACATGAATCTTTCTATTATAAGTGTCCTTTTCTTTATTTGATAGCAACTCCTTATAGATCAGTTTAAATACTTGATTCCCTGAAATTCATTGTTCATCCAGACAGCAACTTCCTCCTCTTTATTTCCACTGGACTTGGAGTCGCACAGGCCTGAGTTCAGAACTGGCTCTTTAACAGCTGTTTACTGGGCAGTGACTTGATTTCTCTGATTGCCACTTTCATTGCCTTAAAAGGGGTAATAATGCCTCCTGCTCTTATGAAGTGGGTGCTATTGTGAAGATGAAATGAGTTAATATAATATAGATGCCTAGAGTAGTTTGTTTTCCTCAAAACATGGATTCAATGAGTGTATAGTAGTATTTGTAGTTCTCTGTTTAAAATATTTGTAAAGCATGGCTTCCACATTAGACTGGGTGCTCCCTGAGGGCAGAAGCTGTGCATCGCAGAGTCTTTGCCCATAAAAAGCCCTCCATAAACATTTGGTAAAAGAATGAAGGGAAGAATGAAAAGTGGTGAGGGTGGGCAAATAAAAGAGAAGACCATGTTAATTTACCCCATGTTAGTGATTAAATTATGAATTTGTGACCTCTTTAATAAAGTGGGAATGTAGTGAGAGCAAGTAGCTGATTTTTTTATAGAAAACATGAAGTGTTTACAAGTCAGCAATGTTGTTGAATCATAACACAGAAGGTCTTGACAATGGGGTGAATTAGTATCAAGTTGGTTATCTCACAGACTTGAGAAACTGCCAGAATATTTAGGTGAGGAAAGCAGTTTTCAAATTCATGACACATCGTCATGAATCATGTTAGAGGAACAGTGAGAAGCAAACTCCAAGTCAGTGAATGATGTCTTGAATGGACCACATTTGTCTCCATGCTGGTGAGGTCTCTGGTACCAAGGATTTCAACTCCCAATGTACCATGAACCTGGCTTCCTCAGTGGAAAGGGGCATGCTGGGAGTGAGGAGAAGGCTAAATGGCCATGTCCTTAAAAGATGGAAGGCGGACAGGCCTCTTTCTTTTGCTTTTTTGGCATCAGCTCACATCCTGGTCCTCAGATGGTACTGCTGGTAAGATAGATAGTACCTAGCCATGTACTGTGCTATTAATCTCCTCCTTCACTTCATTTCTCTCTCTCCTCCCAACCCCCCAAATAAACAATTTTATAATTTCTCTCTGCACATCTGCTTTTGGGTCTTACCCTGAGTTCTTAAGAATGTAGGTGAAGAGGCACAACCTATATCATCCCCATTTCTCCTGAGGCTTCCCTAGAGCAGCCTGGAAAAGTTTTCTATAACTTTGTTTTTGGTTTGAGAGGAAGTGAGTCTTCTACTTTGTCTGGGAGTCTACTGGGACAAATTCTGGATGCCCTCCATAAACGAGGTTTAGAGAAGACAGAGGTTCATTTAATGGCATAAAGAAGGGCAGGCAGCCTTCTTCTGACTCTGATAACCATAAAGTGGAATTGGCGAGGAGAACCACCACTTACTGGAGATATTGAACCTATGAACAGAAAACCCCTCTCCAGAGGTCAGTGCCCCTCCTGGGAGCTGCAAAAGGCTCTGAAGCTTTGTGCCCCCACCCAGCATAGAACTGGGATGTATCTACTTCTCATAGCAGACAAAGCACCTAATTTTTCCAAAATACCTGTCCTGGGATTGGGCACTTTTCTCTTCATCAATTCCTGGTGGATGGATTCAACAAGCAGGGGAATCCTGCTATAAACTTCTGGTCATATACTCCTCTTTCCACTGGGGGAAGCAGTGACATAGCCTCAAACACCAAGGAATGGGTCTAAAATTGCAGAAGGCAAAGCAGCAGCCAACTCTACAGCTAAGACCACCACTCATTTCTCCCTCCAGGAGATACTCATTCCTCTCATGGACTTATCTTAGTTTGTTCCTGAATACACTGACCAGGATGAGGAAAGGGCCTGTGAATGGGGAATTACTAACAGTGGCCCCAGCTCCACTTGGAGAATGAACTCACATGGAATGTGATGCTCTTCCTAGAGGCCACAGTCTACCCATTGTTAGAACACCAGCATGAGGGATTCCACTATTGAAAAGATGATTTGCTAGAGCCCATGTGCCCATATTTAAAGGGCCCCTATTTGCACAGAATGACTCAATGGATCACCCAAGCATGCCATTTATGTGCCAAGAATAACCTAAGTCTAACTCATATCTTGTACGACTGTAGTACAATATCAGGGCATGTGCCCTTTTGAAGACTGGAAAATGGATTTTACCCAAATCCTAGAACCACTGGCAATTATAAGTATCTTTTGGTCTTTGTGGCTACTTTCTCTGCATGAGTGGAAGCATTTCCCACTAGGATGGAAAAAGCTATAGAAGTTGCCAAACAATTGCTGCAGGAAATACTTCACTTTGGATTGCCCAGTTCCATTCAGAGTGACAATAAACCTGCGTTTGTTTCAGATCCCTCTGAAAGCAGTAATGACTTACAGATTACTCGGAACTACATGCCGCCTGGAGAGACAGCAAACTACAGAACAAAGTGATAATCACAGGGCCTCCCTGGTGGTGCAAGGGTTTGAGACGCAACCTATGAAGTGTCCACAGCCACTGCAGTATGAGTTCGATCCCTAGCCAGGGAGCTACCCACATGGTGCAGCAGACCTCTCCTGACTCTCCAGCTCTCCCCTCAGCAGTGTATTTCAGTTGATCTGCCTGTTCTGTTCCGCACTCAGTCTTTGGTGAATCCTCTCACCACCCCCACACACACACCTTTGGCCTGTACCCCAGTTCTTGTATGCATAAATAAATAAATCTTAAAAAAAAAAAACCGACAACAAAGTGATAATCACAATCTAAAGAAGACCTTGGCAAGACCTCGATACCAAGAAATGCATTGTCTTGGGACCAGACATTGTCCATCACTCTCCTTTGGATTGCAGTGGCTCCTACAAGTGGGCTAAGTTTGATCCTCTTTGAAATTGTCTTTGGAAGACCATTCCAAGCTTCAGTTTTGAGAGCTGCATCATACATAGATCAAGTAGAGGATAAAACATATCCAGGAAATTTTAGCTGTAACTTGTAACTTTACTCTCTCTGGGATTTTATGCCTCCGAAGGAATCATTGTATCCTTTCAGACCTGGTGATCAGGTTTTCCTCAAGATTGGCAGAGTGGAGATGCCCAAACTCAACTGTCATAGAAGAGATTTCGTCTTTATGATGTTTGGTAACCACTCCCACGTCTTTGAAACTGGCAGGCATAAAACCATGGATGCATCACTTCAGAGTGAAGAAAGAGCCAAAAGTATGTTGACTTGTAAACCATAACCCATTGGTCTTGTGAACCTGTCCAAGACCTGAGATACTTGTTTAAGAAAAAGACAAAAACATAAATATTCCCTGTTTTTCTTTTGCAGATTTACTACAGGACATCCCCGGATTGATTTCCTAACGGACACTAAGGACCCTGAAATGCTGAATAAGGTTATAAGCCTTCCTTGGTCATTGCCCTAACTATGTATTTTTTTCCACAGGTCTTAAGTATGTAGAATGACATCTGAAATCACATGCCCTCTGTTGTCAACACTGACCAGTTTTGGGAAACTGATTTTGCTATATGGGAAAAACTTGGTTTTGATTTTAGCTTTTAATTTTTGTTTTATTTTTCCCCCAATTTTTGATTTTCTACTGAAAAAACATTTTTTTTTTTTTTGTAATATGGATCTGTGTTTGACTTCTCCCTTTTGTCTTTTTGCATACTGCTTTTGCAGGTACAATGTATCGTTCAAGTGAACGAAAAGCATAACTATTTCAGTGTGAATAAAACTACCTTTCCATCAGGCATTGGTGAGAAGAATCTAGCCTCAAAAGACAAGGTTTTGTCTTCATAAGAGAAAAAAAAAGAGCTCTGTGTCTTTGCAATATGGACAAAACTGCAGTTGCTTAAGATATTCAATATGGGTTAAGTGAAAAGTAAGTTTGCTGTCTTCCTTTATGTTGTACATCTCTATTTCTTTGTATTTAATTATTCTGGCCTCCAAAAAACATGAAGTTGGTTTAGATGGCACCTATAGAAATAGGCTTAGATGGCTCAGAAATATTATGGGAGCTGGTACAAGTGCTTCCAGGAAGCATCATCTGGGGTGATTTTTGAGTTATGAGGAATAATTCAGAGCTTAATGATTTGGTTTGAAACATGTATATCTTTGAAGTTGTGATACTGGGTATAATTTTTTTTTTAAATCTGTGCCATTTGTTTTGGGTACATGCTACACAGAAAAGACAGCTAAGGTGAACTATTTAAGTCTTTAAACATTGGGTAAAATATGCATTGGGAAATTAAGGGTTTTTGAAAGGATGAGAATTCCATTTGTGGAATTGCAATAAAAAATTAAGGTTAAGTCTAACTAGCATTGTTCTGGCTGAGCTTGATCAGAATTTTAATACCTTAAATTGTCACTGTTGAGATACTTCAATGGTATTTTTCTCTAATATATATGACAAAACTTCCCAGAAATCTAAATTAGGAAAAACTGATAGTTTTGTTTAATGATCAGAGGATATTTTATGGAACCTCAGTAGAGCTCCTGAGACACTCCATAAAATTTCTCCCTCTCTTTATGGGAAAGACAGTAGATGAATTCAAATAATTTGATATTTATCTGGTAAATTGGAACTTAATGGGAAGCATTGTTACTTGAGAGAAATATTTAATCTTGCATATACATGAATTTTAATATTTGTGTTCTAAAATTATTATGTGAAATTTCTTAAGTGTATGGTATGTTCTGACATAAAATTGCTGGTCAGTTCTGATTGTTGTTCTGGAATGTTGTAAGATGAAGTTGAGCAAATTTCCTTGTAAAATATGTTATCAAATTTTTAATTTTGATTATTCAGAATTTAGAAATTTTCAGAAATTGTTTCTGGAGAAATTAACAGGAGAAAGGCCTCAACAATGTCCTAAGACCAGCACTAATTGAAAGAACTCAAGAGTGAGAATTTGCTACATAGGACTGAATGGACTATTGGAGATGAACATAATATTAGTAAGTTTATGTTTGAAATAATACTGTATTTCAACTCAAGGAATTTCCCCCCCTTCTTTTAGCTGACCTGAATCAACAGAAATATTAAAATTTTATTTTTCTTAACTAATCTTTGCATTTTCCCTCTCTCCTTGATATCATCATATTATGAAAAGGTGGTAATAAGTATTCTTACTAATCATGACTATGTGCCTTTCTTTGAATAATTTCAATAAGGGATTTTATTTGTCTCTTCTTAAAATAGAGAATTGGAAACATGGTCCATGACCAAAGCTTTGACTGGAATGTCTTTTGGGAGTTGAAATTGAGCTGAACTGAGAAGAAAAGAGCTTGCCAGCCTGTCTGTAGGGTTCCAGAGACCTCCAAGAAAGGAGGGAAACTTACCGCCATTGGCGTGCCTGGAGACCTCAGAGAGCAGCCTGGAAAACTTCAAGAAGAGGAGATCTGCCCACAGATACAGGTGCAAGTGCAGTCTGGTGAGGCTGACCCATGACCTGGCTCCAGAAGCCTATACAGGCTGCATGTTGAAAGCTCAATCAGAGATCCTTTATGGAAAATTCTAGCAAAGCCAACACAATTCTGCTTGGTTATTCTGCCCTGTGAATTTATGCAAAAATAGTTCAAATGGATTGAAGTTAGATTTAGTTTTAAAAAGCATTTTTTCTATACTATTTAAAGAACTGGGATGAAGGTGGAGAGAAAATGATTTTCATAGTAGCCTCTCCCCCATTTTTCCATTTTTGAACTTTTTTTTGGCTTGGTCTGATTGATTATTTCCTTGAAATGGAGGACTTAACTACACTGGCTATGCATGGGCAATGCACTAGTGACTGACTGTTATTTCCTTCAAATACACTGTAACTCTGGAGAAGAATTCTTCTGTAGCCACCCCTTAGCACCCACACATTTGACTTTCATTACTATAGAAATGGTGACAAAAATCAAGAGAGGAAACAGTTAGAGGAGCAACCAGGAGTAAACTCCAAACCAGTGAATGATGTCTTAAATGGACTCTACCTCTATGGCAATGAGTTCTCAATTGCTGAGGATTACAACTCCCAGCATGCCATGAACCTGACATCCTGAACCAGGACTGCTGGGAACTAGGGGTGAAGCTAAGTAACCATGTTGTCCTTAAAGTGTGAAGACAGGCAGGCCTCTTTTGCTTTTATGACTTTAGGTCACATCCTGTTTTTTAGCTGGCACTGATGGTAGTACAAATGGCATCCAGTCATTTACTGGCTAATGGATCTCTTTCTGTTTGCCCTCCCCTTATAAATAAACTTCTAAAACTTGAGTGTCTGCTTTTGGATCTTGGTCCAAGTTTACAAGCACATAGGTGAGGACTCCCAGCTTGTGTCACCCCCTTTTTTCTGGGGGTTGCACTATAAAAATCAAGTTGTTCTTTATCCTAATAATAGAATATTTTAATATTTTGGGAATAGAGTATTCCTGTTATAATGAATTTATACTAGATTAAGATGAGTTATGCAAATGTGATCATCATAATTAAAGTGACTTTGAATTTATGATTTCCCCTATTAAGTATTTTTCAGGCCTCCCTGGTGGCGCAAGGGGTTAAGCACCGAGCTATGAAGCAATCCACAGCCTCTGCAGCACGAGTTCTATCCACAGCCGGCCAGGGAGCAACCCACATGGCACAGCAGACCTCTCTTGTCTCGCCCACTGCTCCCCTGAGCAGTGTATTTCAGTCAGTCTGCCTGTTCTGTTCCCCACTCTGTCTCTGGTGAGTCCTCTCACCCCCCTGCATCAATGGTCTGTACCCTAGTTCTTGTATGCATAAATAAATAAATCTTTAATTATTTTTCAGTGGTTTAGCAATGCAAGAATTCAAGATATCAAAAACCTCTCTGGGGGCCTCCCTGGTGGCTGAAGGGGTTAAGACACAACCTCTGAAGCTGTCCATGGCCTCTGCAGCACGAGTGCATCCTCTCACCCTCCTGTGCCTCTGGCCTGCACCCCAGCTCTTGTATGCATAAACAAATAAATCTTTAAAAAAAAAAAAAACCTCTGGTTTTATGTATTACCACCCTCTCTTTTTATCTTCTAGAAGTAAACATTTATTAAATGGATATAAATCAAAAATGTCCTCATCTTAAAAGCTAGTATTGTAACTTCTCCTGAGGAAGTTATCTTTGATTAGGAAAATATCTTGATAAATCATTTGAGGGTAAAGTGAAACCCTGGGAGTATAGAATGGCAGGAACTAAAAAAAAAAAAAATAAAGACCAGTAAAATTTGAAGGGAAGGATGGAAGTTTATAAAAAGAGGGGGAGATTCAAGAAGGAGTGGGGAAGAATAGAGAGGACTGAGCAACATGGCAGGAGACTGGAGCCCAAGTTATAGAAACGGCTTAGGGACTTGTGGAAACAGTGCTTAAAATTAAATTTCAAGCTGTTTCTGTTACTGGGCCTTACACCATAATTCTGGAAATCTTCAAAAATATCTTAGGTGGAAATTATGGTCAGTCTGAGTCCACTTCTAAGTTGATGTAGTCCTAACTGGAGATTTTTTCACAGGAATCCTAGGGAGGGTCTTGGACTTTCTGCATTAATTTTATCTAGTTCTTAAATGAAAGAAGAATAAAGAGTGACTAAGAGTGTGAACTCAGATATGGTTGTTATTGTATTATCCAGGCAAGACTGGATGGTTGTTATGGTTGTTATTGTATTATCCAGATAAGACTTATAAAAGTCTTTTATAAGTCTTATCTGTAAAATGAGGTAAAGCATAATAATAGCACCTGCTTCCAAGAGAGCGTTACAATAGAGAAAACTACTAGAATGCTTAGAATAGTGCCAAATTAAATGCAGTCTTCATAGTAAGATTTTCATAAATGTTAGATAGTAGTATAATTATTGTATATGTGAAAATAACCTATTCCCACTTAGCTTCTGGTCAAACTTACTCTTTTGCTTAAGCAATTCTGGCATTAAATCCTGCCAGGACTTACACCTTCAAAAGCAGTGATAGAGGTTAAGTCTCATCATTTGTAGAGATTTCTAACTAGTAGGGAGGGTGGCAACAACCATAAGCACATTCTTTATATAGAGAAAGAATCTTCCTTCCTTAGTTCAGGAGCATTAGATCAGCTTACCCATCCATAGCTCCTAATTTTTTGATGGTTACAGCAGTGTTTTGGATATATTATTGGATCATCAGCTAATGATCCCTTATATTTATGTAACTTTCTAGAGTTTACAAAGGGCTATGCACATCAGTCTTCTGAATAAAGGTGCTTTGATCCTCATCTTGCAAATGAGAAACTATGCTTCAGACAGGAGCATAGTTATCTGCATCACTAGATCCAAAGAAGTTGTGGATTAGAACCCAGGCTTTCTGACTCTTTTTTGCATTGATTTTTGAGAATATGAAGGATTTTTTTTTATCATCTAAAGTAGCTGAAGTATGTGCAAACTCATGCACAGAGAAAGAAAAACAGAAGAAAAGAGTTTGACCTATTTTGCATATCAAAGGATGTTAGTTTTCCCCATTTAAGATCAGAAGTTTATCTACCCAAATTAAATGCAGTCTTCTAGTGCTAATCTTATATATTTCCTTTATTTGAATCCCGCAGGAAGTTATTATTTGCTTCAGTCAATCAATTAATTATTGAAAAGAAAACCATAAACCTCATCCTTGGAGAAATTCTAGCAGGATCTCTTTTATGATGTATTCTTTTGAACTTTTATCTCCCATATTCTCAGAATTCAGACTATCTGCCTGAACCTGGTGCCAGAGTCTGTGCCCTCTCTGAATTAAAAGAGAAATGCCAGTGACTTCTTCAGTAGCCCTAAATCTCCTGTGCCCAATTTTAATCTCATTTATGTGATCATGAAATGATAAAACTATGATCCAGAACACCTTAGAAGACAAAATTTTTGCAGAGAAGAGGTTGGTGCAAAAGGAGGTCAGACAAAAGACACTAGTCAGGAAAGATAACTTTAACTTGTGAAGAAGCCTGATTAGAGGACAAAATAGAAACTTGACTTGTAAAAATGTTATTAGTATCTTTTAAGAAAGCTGGACCCCAAACTTTAAAAACTCAAGTGAGCTAAAAACTCTGAGTAGGATAAGTATCAGTTGAAATAACTAATGTTTCAAAGCATAGGGTGAAAATACTATAATCAGAAATACCTTTTTTTGGTAATTGTAACACCTTTACCCTGGTGATCTGATTCAGTTAAGACAAATTTAAATTGGTTCCTAAGGTGTTATTTCTGACGACTTAATATCAATAGCATAAGGATCATGTTGGTGCTCTCTCTCTCTCTCTCTCTCTCTCTCTCTCTCTCTCTCTCTGTGTGTGTGTGTGTGTGTGTGTGTGTGTGTGTGTTGGGCTGGCTCACATTTATAGAGGGAGTTGTGGTGAGAATGGGGCAGAGAAGCCTGGTCAAGGGGAAGTTCAGCGTAGTTAACTAATTCCGGAATGTATTTAACTTCTCAAAAGGCCAGGTTACTTAAAATATACATGTATAAATTCACTTCCTGTTCTCATCTAATGCTTTCCCAGGTTTTCTCTCTTTAAGGATGTGTTAATGTATGGGGAATGAGAAACCAGACATCAACAGATAGGATTTCATGATGTTGTTGTGTAGTTTTAGAAGAAATGTCTTCTAACTTTGGCATTGCAAACTGATTTGCATAACCCTGCTTTACTATTCCAACTACCGGAGGGCAGGGCGAGGAAAGGAGACCCTAGCAGCAGAATGTGGTTTTAGCATCTCCTAATTCCAACAGTGCAGACATAGCTTAATGTATCAGGATTCTCAGAGTCAATTGAATCTGTTCCATCACTCTGAATATGTAATTAATGACGGCAAACCCTTTGAACAAAGAAAGATGGCAATACCTGGCAAAGTTAATTAACAATGTATAGATCTGAAATGTGCTCTTTGGAAGCGTTCAAATCAAATGTTAAATGATGTCAAGTGTCTTCAAAAGCAATTAAGGGAAAGAATCATATCAAGTTAACCTTCATCATCCTCACTAATTAATATTTATTGGGTGTCTAGACATCTTGCTTGGTGTTGAAAAAGGAATAGAATCTAGAATTTTATGATAGCTGATGAAATACTTATGAGTTCAGTGACAAGGTAGAAAAGGAAATAAATGAACTATTTGAGCATGATATGAACTATTTGAAGGATTTTGGAAATTATTACGGAGATCTCATTAACAGGATCTTGAATATCATCATAGAACTGATAGGGTATGCTTCTGAAGAAAGTATCAATTTATTTCTTTAAGAAGAAATATAGTTAGGTTTCCCTGGTGGCTCAGCGGGTTGAGTGCCACGCTGTGAAGCTGTCTGCAGCCTCTGCAGCATGAGTTCAATTCCTGGCCAGCCAGGGAGAAACCCACATGGTGTGGCAGACCTCTCCTGTCTCGCCCTCTTTTCCCCTCAGCAGTGTCTTTGGTCCATCTGCCTGTTCCGCTCCCCACTCTGTCTCTGGTGAATTCTCTTACCCTCCTGTGCCTCTGACCTGTACCCCAGTTCTTTTTAAATAAATAAATCTTTTTTAAAAAAGAAGAAATATAGTTAAACTATAGCATGATCTTTGGTTAGTATTTGAATATAGTTGACTACTCTATTTTATAGAATTTAATTCACCTTTATTATATATACCGTGTACAAGAGGAGATAGAAATGAATTTTTAAGACAATTTTCTCCGAGAAAAGATCTAGTGGTTAGGATACTTAGGTCCTGAGGAGTTTGACTTTTGGCCCCAAAAAACAATGTGTGATTTTTTGGGGGGAGTGGGGGGCTTCTCTATAGGCAATTAGTAGACTATTTTACAGATCTCATGTAGGAAATCTGCCCTCCTCACACCAGACTCGGGGCTCAGCCAGTGCACAGCAATCACTGGAAAGCTGCAGCCACACTTACACCCCTGGAAGTGCTCATGCCCTTTGCATATTTGCTTTCCTGCACCTTCATCCCTACATCTCCTCAGCTAGAGACTTTGGCTGAGGTTTTCAAAGGTTACTGCCTAGATCTTTTTTGGCATGGCATTTTTGTTGTCTCCCAAGATGGAGTAACTAGCTTAACTCTTTCAACTGAAACAACTAACAAAACCATATAAAATAATAAATAGAAAATAACAGTTTTCAAGACATTGGACACCAGATGACAAAAGACAGCGATTCCTGAGAGATAGGGAACAAGTCTTTGTATGATTAGCTAGTGTCATACAGTTGTTCCAAGCTTACCGTTTAAGAGCATTTCCAGGTCACAGCACAGGGATGATTTGGGCTTGAAAGTGGAAATATTTTTATGTTTCTGCATAGTTAGTACTTTCTGAACAAATATCACTGAAACTGGGAATCTGACCTGGGTGAAATCTTAGAGGTTAATTTACAACTGTATAGATAGTGAGACCTCCAGAGACATTTACCTAATACCAGAGATAGATGTTTACATTTCAGGAGGGGATGAAATCTGGAACTTGGAAACATCTCTGAGCTGTAAATCTGGAGCCACTGGGGTTATTTTTTCCTTGGAAAGATTTATTTACATTCCAAAAGGTTAGAACAAGACCTTTCCAAAGAGATTCTTAGATGTGGAAAGGGAAGCATCTGCCTCTTTCCCCTGTATAAAAGCCTAGAAATTTAGTGTTTCTATGTCCTTTACCTATCAGGTGAGCTTGCCACCTGATAAATTTTCACATCTGTTTCTCATATTGTTGTTGTGGAGACATGTAATGT